CCCATCCCTCCCGCCCCTCCCGGTGCCGCCCCCCGCCCTCATTGGCCGGCCGGCGGCGATGGCGGCGATTCGCAGCGTGAAGGTACCGGGACCCCCCCGGACCCCGCGGTCCCCGGGGATGTTTTTGGGGGGATGGTGTCCCCATCCCTCCCGCCCCTCCCGGTGCCGCCCCCCGCCCTCATTGGCCGGCCGGCGGCGATGGCGGCGATTCGCAGCGTGAAGGTACCGGGACCCCCCCGGACCCCGCGGTCCCCGGGGATGTTTTTGGGGGGATGGTGTCGGGGTCTCCCCTCCTCGCTGACCCCTCTGTGTCCCCCTCCCGCAGGGCCTGGTGGCGCTGGTGACCGGCGGCGGCTCCGGGCTGGGCCGGGCCACGGTGGAGCGGCTGCTGGAGCGCGGGGCGCGGGTGGTGCTGCTGGACCTGCCCGCGTCCGGCGGGGGCCAGCTGGCCCAGGAGCTGGGCGAGCACTGCGCCTTCGCCCCCGCCGACGTGAGCACCGGGGGGGCTGCGGGGCTCCTCCGCCTTCAGCACGGCGGGGACACCCCCCTGCACACGGGGACACCGGGACCCCCCCGTCGGTGACACCCCCCTGCACACGGGGACACCGGGACCCCCCCTCCGGTGATACCCCCCTCAACACGGGGACACCGGGGCCCCCCCCCCGCCGGTGACATTAGCCCTGCACACGGGGACACTGTGACCCCCGCCCCGCTGGTGACATTAGCCCTGAGTGTGGGGCCACCATGACACTACTGGTGACCTTTGACCTCTCAGGTGACATCCCACCCTGATGTGGAGCCTCCTTGACCCCACAGGTGGCCTTGGCCAAGGAGGTGGGGACCACCTTGACCCCACTGGTGACATTGCCCCCCCCCACCTCAAACTGGGGCCAGCGTGACCTTGACCGAGGAGTCAGGGTCACCTTGACCTTGCTGGTGACATCCCACCTTGTCCTTGTCCCCTCTGGTGACATCCCCCCCCCCAGCACAGCCCCCAGGTGACCTCAGCTGAGGATGTGGGGGCTACCTTGGCCACCCCCTCGATTTGAGACCACCTTGACCCCCCCCCACTGCTGCCATCCCACCTTAACCCCCCCAGCGGTGACACCCCCTCGGTGACACCCCCAGGTGACCTCTCCCGAGGAGGTGGCGGCGGCGCTGGCCGTGGCCCAGAAGAAGTTTGGCCGCCTGGACCTGGCCGTGAACTGCGCCGGCATCGGCATCGCCGTCAAGACCTACAACAGCAAGAAGGACAAAGTGCACGACCTGGAGGACTTCCAGAGGGTCATCAACGTCAGTGGGGGGCTCGGGGTGGGCTGGGGGGCTCTGGGCGGTGGGGTGGGGGTGTCTGTGGTCAGTGGGGGGGTGACCAGGTCAGTGGCATGGATGACCTTGTCAATGGGTGGATGACCTGGTCAATGGCGTGGATGACCTGGTCAGTGGGTGGATGACATCATCAGTGGGTGGATGACATCATCAGTGGGTGGATGACGTCTTCAATGGGTGGATGATCTGCTCAGTGAGAGGTGACCTGGTCAGTGGGTGTATGACCTGGTCAGTGCATGGATGACCTGCTGAATGGCATGGATGACATCATCAATGGGTGGATGATCTGGTCATTGGGTGGATGACCTGGTTAGTGAGAGGTAACCTGGTCATTGGTGTGGATGACCTGCTTAATGGGTGGGTGACTTGGTCAGTGGCATGGATGACCTGGTCAGTGGCATGGATGACCTGGTCCATGGGTAGATGACCTGGTCAGTGAGGGGTGACCTGGTCAGTGGGTGGATGAGGGGTGAGCTGGTCAGTGAGGGGTGACCTGGTCAATAGCATGGATGACATCATCAATGGGTGGATGATCTGGTCATTGAGTGGATGAACTGGTGAGTGGGTGGATGACCTGGTCAGTGGCATGGATGACCTGGTCAATGGGTAGATGACTTGGTCAGTGAGGGGTGACCTGGTCAGTGGTGTGGATGACCTGCTGAGTGGCGTGGATGACATCATCAATGAGTGGATGACCTGGTCAATGGGTGGATGATCTGGTCAATGAGGGGTGATCTGGTCAGTGCATGGATGACCTGGTGAATGGCATGGATGACATCATCAATGGGTGGATGACCTGGTCAATGGGTGCATGACCTGGTCAGTGGCATGGATGACCTGGTCAGTGGGTGGATGACCTGGTCAATGGGTAGATGACCTGGTCAGTGGGTGGATGACCTGGTCAATGGGTAGGTGACTTGGTCAGTGGGTGGATGACATCATCAATGGGTGAACGATCTGGTCATTGGGTGAATGAACTGGTCAATGGGTAGATTACTGCTCACTGGCATGGATACCCTGCTCAATGGGTTGGCTGTAGATGTGGGACTTTGGGGTGTTCCCAGCACAACACAAGGGGCTGTGGGGCTACCAGCAGGGTTTGGTGGTGCCCACAAGACCCCTGCCCCAAATCCTTCTCCATCCCCAGGTGAACCTGGTGGGGACCTTCAACGTGATCCGCCTGAGCGCGCAGCTCATGAGCCAGAACAAGCCGGACGCCGACGGCCACCGCGGGCTCGTGGTCAACACCGCCAGCGTGGCCGCCTTCGAGGGCCAGGTGAGCGACCCCCGGCCACCCTGGGAGCCACGGGGGGCGGTCAGAGACCCCTGAAGTGACCACAGCACCTCCCCTCAGGTGGGACAAGCGGCCTACTCGGCCTCCAAGGGCGGCATCGTGGGCATGACCCTGCCCATCGCCCGCGACCTGGCCCCGCTGGGCATCCGCGTGGTCACCATCGCCCCAGGTAGGGCCGCCCGGGGGGCACCTGCTGGGAGGGTGGGCAGGGGGAGCGCCCCCGTTGACGGCCTGCTTTCGGGGTTCCCCAGGGCTGTTCTCCACGCCGCTGCTGGCCGGTTTGCCCGAGAAGGTGCGGAAGTTTTTGGGGCAGCAGGTGCCGTTCCCGTCGCGCCTGGGGGACCCCGCGGAGTACGCGCACCTGGTGCAGGCCCTGGCCGAGAACCCCATGATCAACGGGGAGGTGGTGAGGCTGGACGGGGCCCTGCGCATGCAGCCCTGAGCCCGGAGGATCCCCTCGCCCCCAGACCCAAATTTTGGGGTGGGGAGCGGTCACAGAGGGGACAGAGAGCAGAGATGGACGCCGTGGCTGGACGCTCTCCAGGGACACTCCAGGATGGGAACGCTGCGGGGACAAGGACTGGGGACACCGTATGAGTGGGGACACTCTGTCCTGAGTGGACACAACCCCCCCCGAGTGGACACGACCCCTACCCCGAGTGGGGACACCCGGGGATTTGGGGACAAACCCCATGAATGTGGCCACGAGACCACACAGGAAGTTGGGAAACCCCGTGAAGGGGACCCTGCTCAGGTGTGGGGGGTTCATCTCGAGCCCCCCCGGGTGGGGGGACCCCCTCGAGTCCCCCCCAGGCCCCTCCGTCCAGCCCCGAGCCCCTCCTCCATCGCAATAAAACGTGTTCGCCCACGCGGCCTCCGAGCCCGGCGATGCCCCGCCTTCCGTCTATCCCCATTGGTTCGTATCGCTATCAATCATTAGCACAACCAGATGTGATTGGCCGGAGAGGGAGGTGGGAGGGGGCAAAGCCCGCCCGCACCGGGGCACGCGCGGAACTCGCCGCTGATTGGCTGAGAGCAAAGGTGGTAGTGGGGCGGGGCTTGGCTCGTCTCTTGGCATGCCGATTGGCTGGTGTGCGTGTCAAATCGGCAGGATGACGGTGGGCGGGCTCAGCGCTGATTGGTCAGAAAGGAACTTCCGGCGGAAGCGGCTCGTGAGGGGACCCGGGACCGGGAACGGCGCCGGGACTGGGAGTAGAACCAGGACCGGGAAACGCGACTGGGAGCGAGCGGCCGCAGCCATGAACATCCGGAACGCGCGGGTGGGCGGCCGGGGAGGGGCAGGCGGGCTCAGCCGGGGGTCGGCGAGGGAGAGCCGGGCACCGGGGAGGGACCTGACGGTGATACCGGGCCATGGCGGGAGTTGTGAGGGGAACACCGGGCCCTGGGAGGGGTCTGAGGGGAGCACCGGGCTCTGGCAGGGGGATCTGGGGTTTCATGAGGCCTCTGAGGTGGGGACCGGGCTCTGCAGGTGCTTTACCGGGTGTCAAACCGGGAGAACCGGGATCTGAGGGGGACACCGGGCTTTGGGAGGGGAACCGGGCTCTGAGGGGGGCTCTGGGGGCAGTACCGCATCTCGGTGCCGTTTGGCGGCTCTGAGGTGGGCCCCGTGCTTGGGGGGGGGTCTCTGAGGGTCCCTGCCGGTGTTGGGGGGCACCGGGGCCGGTTCCGGGCTGACTGGCCCGGCTCCGGTTCCGCCCCTCCCGGCAGCCCGAGGACCTGATGAACATGCAGCACTGCAACCTGCTCTGCCTGCCCGAGAACTACCAGATGAAATATTATTTCTACCACGGCCTCTCCTGGCCCCAGGTGCGGCCCTGGATCCCCCCCTGACCCCCCCGGTGCCCCGGGACACCGGGATTTAACCCCCCCGTTCCCGGGACACCGGGATTTAACCCCCCCGTTCCCGGGACACCGGGATTTAACCCCCCCGTTCCCGGGACACCGGGATTTAACCCCCCCGTTCCCGGGACACCGGGATTTAACCCCCCCGTTCCCGGGACACCGGGATTTAACCCCCACCGTGCCCCTCAGTCTCCCCCTGAAACACCTGGATCCCTCCTTGGCACATCTGGGGCCCTGAATTGTCACCCAGGACCCCCTGG